GTCTTTATTATATATATAAGATAATAATGCAACTTTTTGTTTATATCTTTTAAAAATAAAATTTGAAAATTAAAATATTTATTTTTTAAAATTCTTAATTTCTTTCAAAATTTTTCAAATTTGATTATTGAAATTTAAATGATTTTTAATTTTATTTTATGATTATATATGGATTATATAGATTATTTGGAAAATGTTTTTATGCAAATGTTATGCAATATTTTGCATAATAAATATATATTTATTTCTAAGATACATTTAAAACTTTTACCTTATTTAGAATTTTTAACTTAGATTTTTAAATTACCTTAAAAATCTGGGAATTCTCAGGGAATTTTTTTTCAAGTTTGAGCAGACATTTATATAAATCGATCATCAATTAACATAATTGACAGACATATTTCTTAATAATCGTGAACTCCGTTCTTAAACAAGTTAAAATTTTTAAACGAAGAAAATAAAGTTTTTCTCAAGTAAAATCTTAGTCTTTAGGATTAAACGTTCAAATGCGTCCTTTTATCAAAATTGAAGATGCAGTTCAGTCTTATATTTTTATAAAAAAGGTTGACCTGGAAATTTCCGAGAAGTCTGACCTTCGAGGTTCGCTGAAACCATTATTCTTCCATAATTCCTATCGTATCCGCATGTGATGAATCGCATCTCGCGAGAGACGTGCGCACGTGCGTTACGTCAGAGCCGTGGATTTTTCGAGTGCGCCACGAACCACGCCACGCCGTGCCGCGCCGGGATATTTTGAGAGGTGGCGGCTGTTTGCAGAATAGACGGACGGATCATAAAACAGACGAGACGAGATAGGACGCGCACGCTGCACTCTCGCCACGAGGGAATTATTTATTCGTGCGCGAAAACAAAATGACGTGATTGTTCGGACGTTTATCTGTTTTCATTCATCCGCGCGGCTCGACCCGGCTCGGCTTGGCGCGACGCGGCGCGGCGTCGCGCCGCGCGCCCGCCTCCGACTTTCGCCGTGCTCTAACTTTAGCGCGCGCCAAAGTCGGCGCCGGCGAGTTTGTGGATAATAAGCACGGTTTACAGGATAGTACGGTAAATGATTAAAGTGTTTTTTCAAGCGAGATTGTTTGCTATTCCACCCGGAAAGTCGAGCTTATTAGATTGAGATTATAAGGCGCGCGCGCGCGAACAAGAGCGCGATCCATCTTTGAGTCTCAGTATGATACGACAATTAACAAACGGATAAGATTGTAAGATAGATGAGCAATAAACTAAATATTTTCAATTTGCTCTCCTATTTTTACGGATTCTCTTCTCGTTGCTGTAGCTGCGTAGTATTTTCGAGTCTCTTGATTCTTTCGCCTTGTATTTATTTTCTTTTGTTCTGACTTCGTAATTACTAGATGATTATCAGACTTTTAGAAGAAACAAAGTCTTTTTGATTGTGTAAGATAATAAAAAAATAATATGAATGGAAAATTACGCATATTATTTTTCGAAAAATCGTTAGAAACATTTTTCCGATTCGTCGTTTACTTTATCAGTAATGGCCGTGTTTACTTTTACGTGGCCATTATTATGCGCGCCGACACGTCGAAAAATCCAAGACGGAGAGGGAACGAAGGCAAAAGATATAAAAACTTTGCGCGGGATTGAAACGGCCTCGCGGAGGGCCGTTCGCTGCTTTTCGGATCCCGCCGAATTCACCACCGCGCGTCGTCTTGTTGTAAGTTTGACGTGCGTAAGCCGTGCGAGCGTGAGCCCGAAAATCAATCCGTCGCCAATTTTAGCAGCGGTCGGCGTGGCGCGGCGTGGCGCGGCGCGGCGCGGCACGGCGCGTCAATATACGCCGTGCTCTCGGCCGGAAAGCGAGAGACGCGCGCGCGAGATCTTTTCCCCGTCGGAATATTTCATTACGCTCCCACGCCTCGGAAGTTGTATTTATATGTGGACCAGCCGCTACCGGAAGCGTAACGCGATGTACACGGTGCTCCCGAAATACGACGCGCGCGTCGAGACTCGCCGCGGATCACGCGCGCCTCGACGATCTTGAGTTTTCAGGACTTTGTACGAGTTACAAGATAAGATCATCTTGAAGTTTATCTTTTGACGCGGATTCTTTTTGATAAAATTGCGATAATTACACATCGTTAATCGACAATTAAACTTTGATGGGACAGTCAAGTGGAATATTGATATCAAGATAAAAATTCGATAGAGACAAAATTAATCGGTGCCCGATAATTTTTTTGGCTCTTTCAAAATTCTTCAAGTCCGAATAATCAGAGTAATCTGGTTTAAGATAGAAGAGAAATTTTTTTGTGCGATAATGAAGAAAACATCTTTATTCTTTATTTCTTCCACGAATTTATGCCGCGTTTGCGAGCAACTCAATTTCGAAATGCAGAGTCTCTTTCCTTCTTACTCGCGCTTGACCGACGGGACCGGTGAGGATTCGTTTACTCTCTGCTTGCAGACCGGAAACGGGAGACTCCGGTGGTGGCGACGGCGGCGGCAGCGGCGGCGGCGACGGCGGCGGCTGGCTGGCCGGAGGCGGCGGCCGGCAACTTGTACATCGAGGAGGGGGGCACGACGACGCCGAGGAGTAAGCGATCGCAGATCGCGCGGATTCAGCATAACATCGAGACCATCCTCAATCACAAGAGTCAGGGCGCCGATTGATGGTCCCCTCCGGCAGACCCCTTTTAGACTTGCTTGGGGCGCGAATTCAGAATCGCTTTGCGCGAGAGAACTCGGGCGAACTGGAGCCGACAGCGCTTCTCCCGTGAGGCTCCTCTCGAATGAACAAGGACACAGAATCAATTTTGGAGCGTCCTTCTCGAGCGTCCTTCGAATCGCTCTCTCGCGAAGAGAAGGAACTCGCAGGAAAATTTCTGAGACGCTCTCGCCGAGATGAAGGGAAATTATAAACATCATCTTAATGTAATTCTGCGCGCGGACGTTATATATTGCAGCTTACTCCATGGAAGGAATCTTCGAGATCGGGGACACGATTCTTATAGAATCAGATTCCATCGATTGTGTCTTCCATTTGTCCATATTTGACGAAGGACAGGACACGTTCGAAGGAACGGGAAGTAAGCATTAGGCCGAACTGCGTCTATTTTGTAATTTGCTATTGTTAAGTTTAATGTAGCAGCGTAATTCATTACCAGGCAATCGAATATTCACACATTGGATCGACTACGCCAACGTTGCTCGTAATTAAGTAAATATTTTTTTATTTTTCTCCATACGCATATTATAGATAACAATTAAATGTGGAACAAAAGAAATGCGAATTATAATTAGGTGATAATTCATTGCGATTTTTAAAATTTTTATATTTAAGTAAAACGAATTAAAATTTAAGTCAAATGAATCAAACTTTTTAATTTGCTTTCTTTTCTAATTTAAACAATTGATCAATTGCAATTGAATTTTATATGTCAGAAGGCTATATTTTCGCGTTTTTACTTTAATTAATAAGATGTGTATATTATTACTGGTGCTACAATATTTATAGATGGTAATATTGCAAATAAAAAATTTGATATTCAATTTAATTATCTAAGTACAATTTGATCATCCAGGGAATAATCGATTAGGGAAGTCACCTTAGTCAAAAGTAATTAGCTATTTAGCATCGTTGGTGCAATATAGAGCTAAAATAATTTTTTACAAAAAGAAAGAGAGAGAAAGAGGAAAAACGCAATAATAATGAACAGATTGAAATTTGTTCAATGTGCTACATTTGAGCCCATCGGATCAAGTGCGAGTCTTTTCTCTTTCTCTCTCTTCTTGTTTGTCTTTGACAAATTAATAAAACCGCAAGGAGGCAACGTCTCCCGTGACGTGTCCCGGAGCTCGAGTGTGGCTCGAGCAACGAACGACACGGCCGTGTATCCGAGGGATTCTATTTATTTCTCTCTTCCTCTTTCCGATAGCTTTAACACGGCGAACACTGTAATATAAAGCGCTTCTGTATTCATACACGCATGGTTAACGCGAGCAATAAAGTAAGATTATAACATACGTTTGTCGAGAGGTGTCTCATTTCTCTCCTGGAAACGAAACGCACGGAATCTTCGATATGTGGTAAACCGGTGACACGTACGTAATGTGAATATATATATATATATAAGATATGTAGATTTAAACAGATTTAAACAGCGAATCATATTGAAATCAATTTTTCTTTAGCAAGGATGCAAAAACGCGAGGAAGATTATTTTTCATGAGTTTTTAGTCCAATTACTACTTTGGAAAAAGTATAGATGATATTTTATTACTCATTTTTAAATTATTTGCTTCGAAATTTAATTCTTTAAAACTCACTATTTTAAGTAGTTTTTATAACTGAAAAATTTACTTCTTTTCTTTCAAGTAAAACACAAGATAAACGCTTATTCTATTATTGTTTATTCCAGTTTTAAATCTTGTGAAATTGATTTCTTACAGAAAATCATTCATATTTTAATTAATTAATTCATATTTTAATTATATTTTAAATACTGCAAAAATGATCTTTTGATATTTTTGCTAATAACGTTAAGTTCAAATTATGGGACAAATTATATATACATATAATGTTACTATTTACTATTTCTGAAATCACACGTAAACAAAATAGAGATATGAACAAATTAATTTTATTATTTACAATTATGACGTTATTATTGGGAAATATTGTGCACAACACTAAGATGCCTAACGAGATAATCGTCGATGATGGAATAAGTAAATCACGGGCTTAGACGGTAAAAAGAATGTGTTAAATTTAACATCGCATGTTTCATAAAATTTTCTCAAATTTTTGTATTAAACATAATATAGACATAACATTAATACTATATTAATATTTCAACACGATTGCAATTTTCTTCATAACATAAAGTTATATTTATCGTATAAAAAATAACAAATCGCATTAAACATTTTTAAAAAATTTTTAATGAATAACTACATTTTAAATATAAACATAAAAACAAAAAACAGTTCAATTTACACAATGAACATATGTTCAATTGACAGATATACGTTTTAAATATTTAATACAAAAATTTAATCGGTACATTCTTTAAAGGACTCTCATTTTCTACGAGTCACTACGTACACACATAATAAAATCTAATTTATTGTTGCAGGGAAATCGGAGATTGGTGTACAAGAAAGAAAGAAAATAAGACGTGTACGATAAAAATTCTCCGTTCTATTCCTTATATACATAATATTCATGTATTTAGATTGTACCCATTACACCGTAGTAACATCAACAATATTTTTTTTTTATTCCATTCTTATCGATTTAAATATATTTTTATCTGTATGTTGTATAAATAAATCGTAGAAGGAAGAGGGAGTGTGAAGGACAATTACGGGGAAGGGGAGGGAGGAGTAAGGTGGATGTGGGTGGCTTGTCGTGGGTGCCTAAACGCCTGTTTTACATTCGAGGCTCGTCGTACTCTCGCTTGCCCTAAGATATATACCTTTACGTCTATCTTCTAGCTTTAAGACTATTTTCTTTGTAAACGTGATCACAGTGTAAAGGCGTCGCTATATACTCTAAAGCGGTAAGCACATATGGTGAACACGGGTTAACACACGCTTCTGTGTCCTGTACATCTGTACTTTTTAAAAATCACACCTTTCGCTCTCACAACCTCTTTCTTTCTTTTAAAATCGAACCTTCCGCCACAAACGTGCGCAAACTTTTCTTCGTCCTCGATGAGTTATTCCCAATCAGGCACTTTTTTGTTCACGATTCCGTCCTTCGAGGATCCGCGCGAGAGTACAACGAGCGCGTGCACGCGCATCTTTTTTTTTCTTTTTGTAAAGGTATCTAAAAAGATTTGTACGTCAATGATGCTTTAATAATAAGGATCGAAAGTGCGAATGACGTGTCCCTAATAATGAACATACGTGCCTTGCGTATAAAATAGTGGTAGTTTTTCGCGACAGCTTTTATATCTTAAATTACAATTATACCGGTCGAAGATAGTAATAATTCGTGTTACGTTGCATTCGTTTATCGCGCGAGACCTGCTCGATGGATGTCTCGACGCTCATTGATTTCTTTCTTTTTTTTCTTTTACGCGTTGTAAATCCGCCCGTTGTAAGTTACATTACGCGGCTTACATTGTCTTACTTTGTTAGAAAAGCACCGTTAACGTTAAAACATTCGCTTATCTAATCGTACAGTCCCGTGGTCTCCGGTCATCTTGGAATGCAAAGCAATAATAAATTACTTAGATTCTAATAAATAATTAAAATCGTATTAAATACTATGCGATATACAGAAGTTATTTAAATAACTACAACCATTTACAGCAGTGTTCGCGTGTACGTGTATCTCTCCGTCTCCTTGCGTAAGACGGCACATATTTATTTATTTATTTATTTATTTATTTATTTATATATATATATATATATATATATATATTATATTTATATAATAATATCCGTGTATACATATATATCTGTGTATATGTGTCTGTCTGTCTGTCTGTTATGTACTGTGACTCTACGTGAGATAGCATATATATATATATATGCTATCTCAATTTTCTTTCCTTCGTGCTTTCTTTCTCATCTAATACTTTTTCTGTACAAATATTTATATATAAAATATTTATTGGATCAAAGGCGAGAAAGGCGGAGAGGAGCGACTCTCGGCCAAAGCGAACGGACATCGAGATACCTGCCCGAATATGTACGAGTCTTCGGTTAAGAGTCATACCTCTCGAACTTGCCCCCTATCTCTCGTATTAATAATTAATAACGCACGCCCGGCTAACTTTTGTGCCCTGTACATCCTCGCCCCTCGGCTTTACACTAATTCTTCGTCGCGTTTAAAGTCGATGCAACGCGACGTTTCTATCTAAAGAAGAAAAAAGAATAGATGGGACAAGGCAATATCTTCCGGAGTGACCATGTCATCAATAGTCGACAAATCCTCACGATCCATCGATATCTACGTGCATCGATACGGGATATACGTCACAATATACTTCCGCGATGTTGCGAACCGTCCAAGTTCTCCAAATTTGTACAATATTTCTCGATTCTACATCTGCTCGAATGGAAATCCGAATCATTAGGATACGGATTTCTACGTTCAAGGATAAATTCATTTCGCGGTGTTATCTTTTTCTTTCGTTATATTCACATATTTCACGCGTGTAACTCTCGTATTCAAACCTACGCACATAAGTATACGAACTTTCTTTTCCTTTACTTTGTAACGTACAATTTTTTTCCATCTTTGAAGGAGCCTAGCCGTAGAACGATAATAAATGCGTTGCTTTCCTTCTACCTCTCTTCGTCTGTAAGAAATAGACTTTCGATGGACTACATCCGCGTCGTCGCATTTGTTTCAAGCATTCAAACCGCACAGCGTCAACTTGATCATCTCTATGTATTTATTCGACATTTTAACGTACTTTTTTTGCGATAAAAGTACGACATAGTTATATATATATTTTTATTTTTCGCGATTATCGACAGGGCAATCTACGACGTATCCGCGTCGCGTTTCCATACTTACATCACTAATTTAAGACTAATAATAGAGCTCGGAATATCTCGATAAAGCCCTATGGACGGATAATTCGTACAATATAACAGCATGATGGACGAGTGTTGGCAATATTTTTTTTTCTCGCGAATTTCTCTCCCTTTTTCTCTCTTTTAAAGGAAAGGCACAATTTGTCGCGCTTTATACATTATTTTCTGACCGAGCAGACATACTTTCTCTTTTTCTCGAATTCTTGAGAATAATTTACAATTCAACTTACAATTGACTCACCGTTGCGTTGTGACGTTCCTGCGGTTCTCGAATATATTTTTGGCGAGAAACATGTCTGGGGCACGTGGCAGAAAATACTTGTACCGTCATGCTAATGAACACTGAACGTACGTACGACGTACCAATTCTCCTGCCATTTTGTTTCGTTCAACGAAGAAAAAAAGAAAAAAATAGAAGAAATGAAAGGACGAAAGACGAATTTTAACTGCGGGTATTTCTCTGCTCTCTTCCTCCAGCTACTGATGACTCTTGCTCAGTAAATGCGAGTTGAACTGGTACAAATTGCAGCATTGCTCCCCGCAAATATTGCACTTCCACGGGTTACTTTCGCTGTGACAACCTTTATGGAGGAAGTACAACGTCTGATCCGGAAATGTAATGCGACAGTGAGTACACTGGAGGCCGCTCGTGCGAGGATCCGGCCTGGTCGAAGTAGGTGGTTCGCCTCTCGAGTGTGGATTGGAATTAACGCCGCCACCACTGTTGTTACTACTGTTATTGTTGTTATTGGTGGAACTGGTGGAGAGCTTGCGGCGCAGATCGTCGCGCAGCAATGATTTCAACGGGGACACTTTGATCAATGACGGTAACGGTAGATTGCTCGACGTCGCCCCACTGTCGTCCATACCGTTGCTGTTTGGTTCCTGCTTGATGGGTATAAGAGAGATCGATGGGGTAATAGCTTCATCGCCTCCGCCTACGTTCCTAAGAAACATAGGAAAAATCCGATTCGTAATTCGCATTATTTAGAGCACAATTGTCGACGTTTCTGAGTTAATATCTAAAATCTTAAATCTTGTTTATCAATTACATAATCGAGATTAATAATTAAAATAACATGAAAATGTAAGGATTTTACAAATTTGTGAAATTTATTTTTTTAATGATCGATTGTTGTAACATGTATTAATAAATATTGCACTTTTTTAAATGTTTACCTATGGATCGTACTGCTATTGATAGATAATTGATGATGACTACTGCTCGGCGCGTTGCTATTGCTGTCGGCACTTTGTGGACTATTGGGACTATCTCCGTTTAGCGGTGCAGGACTTGGATTTCGTTGATTAGCAGTTTGTTCAGGATAAGGAATGGATATTTCCACATGAGGCGTTAGGAAATGCATGGGGGGCGTGGCATTGTCAGTTGAACGGTTGCCAGTACTGTCCCCGCTATCGGACAAAGGTGCTGAAGGCATTGCCTCTCCCGACGTGCAACTATTCATTATGGACGTAGAACTATTTGGTCCTGGATTATCTAAATCTATTCCATGTCTATGAATAATAAAAAAATACATATAAAATGATGGTAATAATACTTTCTTGAAAATATTCGTGAAAACGGTATTTATGAAATGTACCTATTAAAGAAGTGCAACCTAAGGCATTTCATGGTTGCCGCACGATAATTGCAGAGAGGACACGACTTGACCATATCGTGCTGACCTACGTGTTCGTTCTGAAAATGAGCGCGCATTGCAATCTGTCTTTGGAAACCTCGGTTACATATCGGGCAATGGTATGGCAAAGTTTTTGAATGCGTTGTGAAATGTTCCGCAAGATGGTCCTTCCGAAAGAATCTCTTTTGACATACTCGACATTCATATGGTTTTACGCCTGTATGCCTCATCTAAAAAATAAAAGGTACGATAGGTCAAACATTCACACACAGATAACTATATGTATTTAATATAGATAAAAAGATTATGATTAAAAAAATTATATATCTTTTTATAATTATAACTATATATCGTTTATGATTATAAGAATTTTGCTTATTTAATTCATAGTGTAATATGTTAAAACTTTATTTATTGCTTTCTATATGTATTACTTTATATATTACTTATGAGCTTTCTATACTCACTTTGTGTCGTCTCATATTAGCTCCATTTGAAAATTTCATATTACAAACATCACACTCAAACATCTTTCTGTGAGACCTGATTCCCGAATGGCCCTCGTCTCCATCTCCATCATTTTCTGTTCCTTCTATACCCTCAGCGCTCTCTCCAGCTTCGCCGCTCGCCAGACATTGATCTTGATGAGCGGAGAAAGCTGTCTTATTTATGGTCTCATAATTGTCACATCTATCACATCTAGAATTAAGAAATTATATGTATATATATCCATACATACGCAAAAAAGGAAATCGTCAAATGATTGGGCATTATTTTCATTGAGATTGTTATCTAATTATTGGCCACATATGAAGCTATGATTCAAATCTCACCTGAATGCAGGAACAGCTCCATCGCTACTGTCATAATTTGTATTGAGGGCTGCCTCGTTATCAGGATCCAACGTTTCTTCCTCCCTGTGATTAGAAGAATCTCCAGCTTCGGCTTGCGAAGAGGAATGGGAGTCTACCTCGTTTTCCCCACCACCACCATCAACCCCATCTGACATGTTATCAGGCGGAAGGACTATCTTGAGTTCGTCATCTAACCTAAGACGACAAATATTTGGATTAGTTGAGCTCATTCCTAGATATTTAACACAAGACAGCTAGTCATAGAGATTACGGTAACAATCCCGGTCTTACGCATCGAGAGGAAACATCGAACACCGTTCACTCATTTAGATATAACCTTAGCCTATTTAAACAGATCACATCTTCCACTAATGTTCAAGAAACAATGGCATTATCGAAGAACGGCGGGATAAGAATCGATCATCTGACACGCTCCGCGTTCCATATTTCGTCGAGCTGAGCGAACGGGAAGCTCGTCGCTCGGGGCACCCGACCCGATATTGTCGTGCCCTACATAACGTCAATCCGTTCATCGTTCACTACGTCGTCGCGCACGATCCCGTAGCGCGGTGCGTCGCAGAAATCGGTTTCCGCGGGGACGTAGGATTCGGCGCTCGCTCGCGATTTCACGTCGACATCGCGGGAGAGTTCCGCGGAGAAAACGGGCGCTGTTTTTTTTTTTTTATCGCGCGCGTCCCAGGACGCGCGAGAGAGCCTCACCGTGTATCACCGTGACGTTACGCGCGAGCTCGCGTACGCTCGCATCTCGCGTTCGTCGTCGTCGCGCCGATACCACGATACCGAGCCGATGCCACCTTTACCTGTCAGCTCTCTCTCTCCGCGCGACGGCCCGAGATCTACCCGTATATCTCGCTGTCAAATCGTGCGGATTCGCAATTCGCGCGAGGGAGAGAGAGCGTGAAACGCGCGAATACGCGGCTCCGAGAGAGGTGTCCGAGTGAGCAAGGTGCAACGGTACGAGTGTTACCCAATCCTGGGAAGATTACGGCATAGAAACACCTGGTAGTAAAGCGCAATGCCAGAGTGCACTGCACTTTGTCCCAGTTTCGACCGAATCCGTCACTCGTGACGTAGTTTTCGCGGCTTTTCCGCGGAAAGTCTCTGGCAGTCGCGCGTACGACGGCGGAGGAGGCGAGAATAAAAAAAAAAGATTGACGACGGGAATCTAGAGGAGGGGACGAAAGGGGGAGAAGGAATGGAAGGCGAAGGGAGAACGAACAGAAACCTCTCTCTTTTTTTTCTTTCTTTCTCTCTCTCTCTCTCTCTCTCTCTCACTCGCTCGCTCGTTCTCGAGGTTCGCGGGCCACTTACATTCCACGGGGGAGGAGGGGGATCGCGGGAGCACCTTCCTCGGCGCCACGACGGAATTTCGCTCGTCCTCGCTGCGTTGCACGATACTCACGAGCGCTGCCGCACACTCATCTCCGATACTCTTATTTTTTCTTCCCTCTGTCTCTCTCTCTCTCTCTCCCTCCTCCCCGTTTCCTCCCCGCGACACCCGCGCGGCGCGCAGCCACACACAAATAAAATGTAACGGAAGTGCGAGGTGTCCGTACGGCACTTCTCTCTTTCGCCGATATCGGCACTGCTGCCAACCGTGTCTGTGTCGCCGCCGTTGGCCAAGGACAACGACGACGACGACGCGGCTCCACGTTTGTCAAACCGCGAATATCCGCGCCGACGCCGTCGGCGAGTCGAATCGTGCCGTGGATCGCCACGAACCTCGGCGAATTTCGCGCTTATCGCGGATTCCATGCGCGCCGTTCGCACGAATCATAACCTCGTCGCTCCGGATGTGCCTAGGTTGGCATCACGTGCGTAATCCGACGACCTGTCAAACGTCACGCGTCAAACCGTCCCGCTCGCCGTATGGCGTGTTTACGTACGACAACGTTTCTTCCACCGGGTAGTCCCGCGATCCCGCATTCCCTAACCTAACTTAACTTACGTCCACTTACGTGAGTCTCGGCTTGGGGACGCGCGAGGAGCGACGGAAACGGGTCATCGGGAACGTCGCGATCTCCCTCCGACGTAGCCATGTGATACCCTCCGCGATCGAACTGTCTCGCGTGAATCCCCCTCCCCCTTCCCTCCTCGTCGCGCTGTCGTCGCGCTATCGATCCCGCTCTCGCAGCAGTGGCAGGCTCTAGCCTGACCTAACTTCACCTCATCTCGGCTTGCGCTCGCGTGCACCTCGCCGCGCCTCGCTGCACGCAACTGCGTTGCTGTGTTGTTGTTGTTGTTGCTCGGCTTGCAACGACGAGATTCCGTTATGTCCCGCGTGCAAAGACGAGAATCGTCATTATCGTCGTAGCTCTCGTAACGCCGCCCGGGAATTAAACGCTCCCTTTCGCGTTTCAGTGAGTTCATCAGATGTTTGTCGAATGTGTGACCAGCATCCGCAAGTTGACAGTCCCCGACTGACATAAACAGGTAATTCGCGATTCCGAGAATTGTCACGTTTGTTTTGCATTCCTACATACATGGTTCCGATACACGTCCACTCGCGATTCCCCCGAAGGATACTACGATAAACGAGCATGATTCGAAACGAGA